TTCTTATCCTGTTTCCCTTTTTTAAGTACACTGAGACAGCACTTGGGTGCCTGCTGACAGGAGGGCTCCCATGCTAAATGACATGAGCAGTAATTATGGGGACAGAATAACACTGGAATACATCACTAATGAGCTGCAGAGCTTTCCATGGAATTATCACCACTTGGAGCTCAGGAGAGCAAAGTAAAACAGAACAAGTAGCTTCTAAGTTCTGTAGGCAACAATTTGAAATGTAACATGATAAATAACTTGCAATTCAAGAGAATTATGTATTTCAGGCACTATCACTTTTTTCCTAAGGAAAAGAACCTCCACTGTATCTTCAAATAAAAACAGGGATAAAATCCTTTCCTTTGCCAGAAAGATTCAGGAATCGGGGGGGAATTTCCCACTGTGCACACCTTCAAGGCTGGACAGGCAGAGTTAAGACAGTAGAAAAATAAGCTGCAAGTGATGCTCTAGCAGCCTTTTGGATCATGTCACAACATTTTGGCTGGCTCACAGATTTTGGAGCTTCTGGCACTGACAATACTTACTGTCTCCTGTAATCTGTATAAACAGCTACTTTGAGAGGGACCCCAGATAAATCCTTCCAGAGGAACAAGAAAGCATCCATGCAATCACATGGAATTCATTTTATAGCTGTCACAATGTCTCCATTAAGGGTGACAATAAGGTTTCAAATCCTCATTTCCCACACGGGCAATACAGTGATCACAAAAGCCTCAGAGATGGAAAATACCTGTAGGTGCATTTAGATTTTACAAGTTCTAGCACAAAAGGGCAGAATTCACAGTTATTATGTCCAGTTCTGCTTATCATTTGCCTTCAGACCCACCAAGACAGCACTGAACAGTTGTAAATTTACATTGTGTCTCCTAAAATGCCAAAGAAAAACTCAGAACTTGGACGTGCACTCATTATTGTTGTCTCTGAGGAAGTCCAAAACAAACCAACCTCCAAAAACACCCCAAACCCTTACACAGCCTTGAGTTTTTAGATAAGATATTCACAAATGTGAGGCCACCAAAGAACACTACTCTGAAAAACTAGCTGTGGCAGCTTTAACCTGATGTTCTGTGATGCACTGGAAGAACAGGGAGATCAGATTGCTTAAATTAGCATTCTTCTTTTCCCACTTTGGATTTTGGTAATAATATAAAAGCCAGTCGACTATCAAAATAAGACAATTATTTGAATTAAGGGGGGAGTATAATTGTCTTTGCCTCTGACCCTACTTTTACCAAACAGAGCTGGGGCAATTCTTCTCTTTCCATCCTATGCCTGCATAACCACAATACTTTTTCTATCAGCAAGTAGGAAAACCTTTAATTCCATTAATAGCCCAATTTTCGTTTCTTATGTTCCTCCTCTGGAAAAGACATTACTTCTTCATTAGAACTCCCCAAAAAACCTATCAAACCTGCAAACCCCAAAGCTTCCAGACTTTTCACATGCCCTCCTGAACTTGATCCAAGCTGGTGTGGGGCTCAGCAGCCTGCCCGAGTCATGGACACAGCACTGCCAGTCTGTTAATAAAGGAGACTCCAGGTTCTAAAGTTACAAACAATTCTGTGCCTTCACTCCAGGAGAGGACAGAGCTCTGCTCTGAAAAAAAAAAGAGTATTTCTAGTTCTCCCACACATTTACTATGTGTTTAGGTCCAGTACTGTTTCCCCATGTGAACTAAGCAGTATTAACGTTTTCCCATTTCTCACACAGTGTTGTCTGTCTGATTTGTAAGAAGAGTGTCAGCAGATGCTCAGGCATGTAGACATGCAGAGTATGAACAGCAAACATCACCCTCTGCACTAGGAGGTCCAGAGGTTATATATTCATTTTTTCTTGTAATTAATTGCTGGAGTGTGGTCTATAAAATAGCCATTCACACCAAAGGAATGCTTGATTAAATCACAGAGTGAGTTATGGCTGGGATAATTCCATTAGCTTTACAGAAAAATACTAGGGATGAATTTGTCCTCTCTGGCTTATTTTCCATTCCAAAATTCCTTAATGGCATATAGAAAAAATAGCAAAGCTGGCCTCAGATGTTAAATAAAGACATTCTGAGTCCAATTCCGTTTCCACAGGATACAATGGGAGTTAGTAGATCAGGACCCACAACACGCAACTACAAAAGCATTTGCTGATCTTAAGCTTCAGTTCCAATACAAAATTTTCCTGAGCCAATTCCTCTTAATTTGGGGCATTTTCCTCCCCCCTCTCCCCCCCGAGTTTTTCCACTGAACACAAGTCTGGCAAGAGATTTCTTAGTTAACAGCCCTTTTCACTATCTACAAAGCTTCTGTGATCATGTTTAGGCATTGAAAAACCACAATAAAAAAATTCCCTGTAATCTGTTAAAGCAAATGTTTACTCACAAAGCAGAATCCAAACCAGAAGGGTTTTCCAAAATGGAGATCTTTGCATCCCATCAGATGGTCCACACAGTACTGGAATGTGAAACCCATGACAATTTTTTTTCTGTGGGCCATAATTCTCTGCCAACAACCTCAGGTTTGATGCTAAAAAATACACTTGTATTGCTGTTGTTCCCAAATACCACAGCAATAGGCATAACACTACCTATAAATGTACCACCAGAGACAATGTGTTGGCATATCCCAGCCATGGAATCATTAAGGCTGGAAAAGACCTTTAAGATCTTTAAGTCAATCGTCAACCCAGCACCACCACCATGTTCACCACTGAAACTGCACACTGTGCAACGTGGATCAGGAAAACAAGGGAGTTAAAAACCCAATCTACACCAAATTTAAATTGTAACTACCTCTCAAGAGCATCAGGACACCTTTATACCAAGGGCAGCTCCTTGGATCTGGGTTCCAACTGATATTGTACCCCCTGCAGAGTCCCATTTGCCTCACAGACCACAGCACCTCAAAAAAACATCAAGAAAATTTGTCCGTGGTGCAGCTACATATAAGGCTTCTTTTTGTTGAAGAAAAATTGAGTAAATAACCAGACAATCTGAGAAAAAAATAGCTTTGTGCTCATCGAGTCAGTTGAGCAGCCTTCAGAAAGAACACTAGATAAATTAATAACCTAACCTTTGCCAAGGAAAGGGCTCTCCTGTGGGAAGAGAAGGAAGGGGGGAAGAGGCAAGGAAGCAAGGAGTCAGTGAGTGGGAAAATGTGACTCAGGCAGAGGAAGGTGGCAGGAGATTTGTTGCTGGTGAGGTTTGGCTGGAGCAAGGAGAGGTGGCACAGCAAAGCATGGATAAAGGGCTCCAACTCAACACAAGCACAGATCCCAGAGACACTGGGAGCAAGAAAGTGAGGAGGATGGGGGGAAAAGGACAGAAAAGGAGACCATGTGCAGAAGAAAAACTGGGTGAAAAACTGTGGGATGAGAAAGAAATAAAGAGCTGTTGGAATGATTTGAAAGTGGCCTGTGAGGAAAGCTGAGTGTTGGGATGCACAAGAACAAAGGACCATCCTCCCAAACCTGCAAACTAGAAGTGCACCACAAGCTCATCTTCTTGCTGTCGTGGTTGCAGTGTTCACACAATCCCTCTGAAAAATAGATCTATCAGCTCTCAGAGTGAATCCCTTTCTGATCACTGAAGATGTATAAAGAGCTGTTATAGAGAGAAAATTAAACCAAAACACTCCCAACCCATCCTCTTGATCTCCTACCCCATCCAAGGAGAAAGAGCTCCAAGGAGATCTATCAGCTTGATTTTCTAGAAGGATATAAAAGATTTCCAGGCTCTACACATGACCAAAATCTTTCCCTTCTTGTTCACTTCTGTGGTATGAGGCTTTTAAAGTCCCATATAAGTTTGTTCCATAAAATAACCAAAAGGTAAAGAAGATGAAAAGAGAAAGTGATGCAAAGGTGGAAAAGGTAAGGTACAGAGAGAGACCATTTTGGGATAGGATGCTCTGATACCACAATGATGGGCTCTTTATAAGAAACAAAAAGAGAACCTATACAGCCTATAGATAGCAAAGCAGCAAAATCCACAAAGACAAGTTTTTCTTTAAGTTGCCAAGCATATGGTTTAAGGTATTTATGCCAATAGCAAACACATCTTGTAAGCAGAAGTGCCTGTGACTGGGGGAAATAGAAGGGCTGTCTTTTTTCATTTGCTATCATCCCTGCAAAAATGGTACTCTTAGGAATTGATTTCTAGAATATCGAGATATTCCATGGAAACTAGAGCCACAAAGGTAATTTTCAAGGGTTTTTTTTCCCACTTTCTGATTCTCTCTCTTTTTTTTTTTCAACAGGGAGTTTTTACTGCACAGTACAGCACACATCACCAGCCTGGGGCATCCTGTTCCTATTTCCTCTTCAAGTCAGCAGAAGATATTTGACAAGGGAAGAGGAAGAAAGCCAGAGAGAAGGGGTAGGAAGGGAATAGAAAACAGATGCTGGAAGAAAAGGCACAATGTACAGCAGAAGGGAAAAAAAGGTAAAAGGAGGGAAAAGAATAAGAATCCAAACAAAAAAACCCACACAAGCCAGACCATGTAAAACTTCTGGATCGTTTCACTGCAAGTTACTGAATGTAAACACAGGACCACAAGACAGGAGGAAAAGTGTAACTGAGTTATATATGTTCCTAAGTGCATTCCCATAGAAGGGCGTTGAAAAACTTAGTAGCATCGTTACTACTACACGTGAAGGTCACTGAAGCCACATCAGCTCGTATCAGAATTATTAAGACAATGATCTGATGCCCTAGGCTGCTCTTTGGTGCACACAGCGCACTCCGAGCCCACTGCAGTTGCTCCTGAAGGCTTTGTGAAGCCCTGCAGGCAGACAGGGAGGTGGAGGTCACAAAGCATTACTCGCCCCGGCAAATTCCCGAGCGGAGAGACCCGCACGGCGAGGAGGGTCAGGACGGGACAGTGATACCCAGGCTCCAGTCCCTGGAAGCGCGGGATACACAACCTTTTATAAAAGCCGGCCCTGAGCGGCAGCTCCTTGCTGCCCTTCCCGGCTCCTGCCCACCCTGCCCGATCCCCTACCTGGGTCGTGGAAAGGCACCAGCGCGAAGTTGTACAGCGGCCGCTTGGGTCTCTTCAGCGACGTCTCCAGGATCTTGGATGCGCCCTCGATCACTTGCACCAGGTCGTCGTACATGGAGCCGGTCACATCGAACACGAAGGCCAGCGTGGA